TTACGTATAGTGAACACAGTATCCAAAAGAGAAGACTTGTCCCCTGCGCGTGCCCTTAGTCTATGCCAACACTCACACGCGTGCACTCGGGCTCGGCCAACACCCTTGCACACATCTTAAGCCTCCGCTACTCTAAGTGCGCGTGTGACGATGACCTTGGCCGACACCCACGCATGCTCCCTTGGCCTCCACTGACATGCACATGCCATTGGCCTAGGCCAACATCCACACGTGTGCCCTCATCCTACATATATATATATATTTTTTTTTGAGTTGGAGTCTCACTCCGTCGCCCAGGCTGGAGTGCAGTGGCACGCTGCTGGCCACCGCAGCCCCGACCTGCTGGGCTCCAGTGTTCCTCCCGCCTCAGCCTTCCAAGTGGCCGGAACAACAGGCACGCGCTACAACGCCCGGCTAATCTTTGATTTATTGTACAGACAAGATCTCACCAAGTTGCCTGGGCTGGTCACAAACTTGCGGGCTCAGGCCATCCACTCGCCTCGGCCTCCCAAAGTGTTGGAATGACAGGCTGAGCCACCGAGCCCGGTCCGAACTACGTATTTCTGAGCCCCGGGAAGGACGTAACACTGAGGACTCGAGCGAAACTCGGCCTGGTGCTTTTATTTCGCCCTGTTATTTCCAAACTCGAACGGAGCCCCTGGCAGGCCTGGCTAATAAAACCAGAAATGCCTTTTGACGCTTGAAACATCTTGATGAGAAAAAAAACAGCGAATGTCCCTTTACTGAGCTGGATTTGGCTGCACACCTGCGATGAGTCTGGACTTCGCCTGTGAGGTCAATGACCAAGTCAGTTTCCTGGGTGGGAGGTGCTCATCTCTTATGGGGGTTGGGTGAGGGGGCTTTGCTAGCTAGGCTGTTTTCCACCCAGTTCTGTCCTTGTGTTCCTGTAGAGCTGGTGTCCGGGGCGCCCCTCCTGGTTCCCACATGGCCCAATTAGGCAGTTTCCAGGACGTTCTGGGTTCCTGCGCATGGACCCCCACGGAGCCTTGTCTTGAAGACGGAAAGGGTTTGTTGGATGCGGATGATGACAGACGGTCCACAGCGGCCTCGAGATGAATCACCTGAATGTCATTCCCCAGAAATATCAGCACCCGGGACCGCAGGGCAGTCCGTGAGAACACGGCTCTGGGACCTTGTAAACCTCCAACGGCGGCCCTGGTTAGAGGTCCACAAATTACCCAATGCAAATGAAGGCGGCTCAGCGCCTTGGGAGTTCTTTGTAACCTGAGACTAGAACGGGGTGCCTCTGTTTTGTCTGTACGGTTCCTAATAAAAAGAGACCCGAGTAAAGTGCGAGCTCAAAGGCAGTATTCAATTATCCCCGGGTTTTCCTTATTTACCAGAAGAATGTTCCAGAAGGGCATCTTGGCGGCTGGTAAATTTACATGAGATGGACCAGGTCCGTGCATTCAATAAGTGAAATGAGGTGGAAGGGAGGGGGCCAGGGCAGGGGTGACGCAGAGACAGGACCTGCGGCCCAAGCGGTCCAAGCGGTCCAAGCCAGTTGTGGGTTTATGGTAGAGTCAAGCAGGACACACACGGAGTCGCCATGCACCGTGTCACCCTGAGTTTTAACAGCCCGCACTGGTGCGACGCATTTGTTACAACTAATGTCCACCGTTCACCAGAGGGCCCGCCTCTTGTGCAGTTTGTGGGTCTGGACAAATGCGAACTGTCCTGTGTCTGCCACTGTAGTATCAGTCAGAGGAGCGTCACTGCCCTAAGAATCCCCTGTGCTCCCCACCAAGTCCTCCCTCGCCCCTCCTCCTTGTGGCACCTTCTGGTCTTTCTGCCTTCTCCACCGCTGTGCTTTTTCTGGAACATCCTAGAACCGGACTCCTGCCGCGTGCAGCCTCTGTCGATTGGCATCTCTCATCTGAGAACACGCACTTACGTTTTGTTCATGTCTTTTCATAACTTGTTGCTTTTCGGCGCTGAGTGATATTCCATTGTCTGGACGTAGCATGGCTGGGGAGTTCCCTCACCTCCTGAGAGGCATCTTGGTTGTTTGCAGAGTTAGGCGAGGACACTTGAAGTTGCTTTCAACAGTACCGTTTAGATTTCTGTGTGGACACAACTTCTTAGCTCATGAGGGCGAACGCCCGGGCGCTCGCGGGCTGGAAGGGATGATCTAAGCAAGTTGAGCCCTGTGGGGTGCGGCCCATCTGTCTTTTCCAGTGCCATCTTGGGTTCCTGCAGCCCTTGGCGTGGTCGTTGTTTTGGGTTTTAATCATCCCAACGGTTGTGCGGCGATGTCTCATTATTGTTCTAATATGCAGTTCCCTGATGACATCCGGTGTGGAGAGATGCTTCTTGTATTTTGCGGTCCGTGTGTCTTTTCGCGAGGCATCTGTTTAGATCTTTGTCCTACTCTTTCCTTTTTTCTTTGAGTTGGAGTCTCACGCCATTGCCCAGGCTGGAGAGCCATGGCACGCTCACGGCCACCCCAGCCCTGACCTGCTGGGCTCCAGCGATCCTTTCCTCTCTGCCTTCCAAGTAGCCGGAACTACAGACGTACTACCATGCCTGGCTAATCATTTTTTAAAAAACTTTATTGTAGAGACGAAGTCTCACCAAATTGCCTGGGCTGGTCTCGAACCCACGGGCTCAGACAGGCTGGCCTCGGTTCGAATCTACCTGCTTCGTCCTCCTAAAGTGCTGGAACGACAGGCTGAGCCACCGAGCCCGGCCTCTGCCCACTTTTTAACGGGGCCATTTGTTTTCTTGTTGTTGAGTTTTAAGAGTTCTCTGCTTATTGCGGATACAAGTACTTGCAAACAAGCCTTGCTGGGCTCAAGCAATCCTTCTGCCTCAGCCTCCCAAGTAGTTGGGACTACAGGCACATCCCACCACACCCAGCTAATTTTTTTTTCCGTAGAGACAAGCTCTCGCTATGTTGCCCAGGCTGGTCTCGAACACCTGGGCTCAAGCAATATTTTTACCTCAGTCTCCCAAATTGTTGGGATTACAGGCATGCACCACCACGACTGTTTTCTCCTAATCTGTAAGCCCCAGTGTTTTTTTTGTTTTGTTTTGTTTTGTTTTTGGAGTCGGAGTCTCACTCTGTCAGCCTCGACCTGCTGGGCTCCGGCGATCCTTCCGCCTCAGCCTTCCAAGTAGCTGGAACTACAGATGCGCACTACCACGCCCGGCTAATTTTTTGATTTATTGTAAAGATGAGGTCTCACCAAGTTGCCCAGGCGGGTCTCGAACCCGCAGGCTCAGGCAATCCACTCACCTCAGCTTCCCAAGGCACGGGATGACAGGTTGAGCCACCGAGCCCGGCTAGCCCCAGTGTTTTTGCATTAAACCCATTACTCCCAAAGTAAGAGCCATTAGATCTTTTTTTCTTCTAAGCTTTGAGTCTCACTCTGCTGCCCAGGTTGGAGTAGAGTGGCATGCTCACTTGACATGCCACGACCTGCTGGGCTCAGGCGATCCTCCCACCTCAGCCTCCCGAGTTGCTGGAACCACAGGCATGCGCCAACACACCTGGCTCGTTTTTGGATTTCTTTGTAGCAACGAGGGCTCACCAGGCTGGCCTCGAACCCTTGGGCTCAGGCAGACCTCTCACCTCTGCTTCCCAAAGTGCTGGCATGACAGGCGTGAGCCACCGTGCCCAGCCATGAGATCTTTCTTACAATAAACATCCCATTTCAGAACCGTTGTGGATTCATGGAATGATTGCAACAATCATACTGAGGGTTCCCTGTGCCCAGTTTCTCCCGTCATCAGTGCCTGACATTCGCCCGATCTATTGGTCACAGCTAGTGAACCAGCATTGGCACCTGAATATTCATCCAATCCACACTTGTTCCGGCTTTCCTCAGTTTCCCCGACTGTTCTTTTTCTGTGCTGGCGCCATCCAGGATCCCGGGTGACCCCAAGCCACCTGCCTCCCCTGGCTCCCCTGGGCTGGGAGAGTTTCTCAGGCGCTCCTGGTTTCCGGCGACCTGGACCGTTGGGAGGGGACGGGTTAGGGATCTTCCTGTCTGTGGTTTTCTCCCTGATTGGACTGGGGTCGTGAGTCTGGGGAGGAAGACCACCGAGGGACCATGCCCTCTCGTCACGTCGCATCAAGGGCACACGTGTCAGCGTGACTCATGTCTGCCGAGGCCCCCGTGGTCCCCCGACTGAGGCCAGGTGCATCAGGATTGATTCTCCACTGCAGACTTGTCATCTTCCCCTCGACACCCCACCCTCTGGATGGGTCGCTCCATGGAGCCCGCCACTGAGGGCTGGGGAGCCAGGCCTCCCCCCTGGGCCTCAAAATCCTGGACTCAAGCAGCTTCCTGCCTCAGCCTTCCAAGTAGCTGGGACTACAGGCATGCACCACCATGGCCAGCTAATTTTTTTTTTTTAATAGAAATGGGAGGGTCTCACTATAATGCCCAGGCTGGTCTCGAACTCCTGGGCTCAAACCTTGGCCTCCCAAAGTGCTGGGATTATGGGCACGCACCACCATGACTGGCTATTTTTTTTTTTTTTTTTTTTAAAGAAATGGGGTCTTGCTATACTGCCCAGGTTGTTGTCAAGCTCATGGGCTCAAATGATCCTGGTGGCTGCAGTAACTGGGCTAAGTGTGTGGAGTTTGTCAGCCTGGGAGATCTGTCTCCTCCATCCCCACACACATTTGTTGATTGAATTCCTGGCGTCTCAGTGTGGACTCACGGCTTTCTACCTTAGTCAAGATGTCCTCACCGCACGATTCTGTGACCTCAGAGAGAAAGGGATCCAGGAGGCCTCTTGGAGTCGTGGCACGCAAAGCCATCCTGTGGAACCTCTGCCTCTGCCTCTCTGGTCACCCTGCGTGTCACGACTTTTCCCTGGGGCAGCCCGAGCCTTCAGTGGTGGGGCCGTCGCCCCCGGGGTCCATCCTTACAACTCTGTTGTGGACGCTGGGTGGGCCCGGGCGAGCAGGGTGACGCGGTGGCTTTCCCAGAGGTGGAATCTAAAACATGTGTGTTTGGGTCCCTCAGAGACGCCCCTGACCTTGGCTGCGCAGCTGGACGACTCCGCGGAGGTCATCAAGGTGCTCAGAAATGGCGGGGCACACCTGGACTTCCGCGCCAAGGACGGCATGACCGCCCTGCACAAGGCCGCCCGGACGAGGAACCAGGTGGCCCTGAAGGTAAATCCCGGCCCGTCTTACGGAGGCTACCCCCGCCCCTGTGGGATCCTGTCCCCCCACAGTGCTGCCCGAGGGGACCGGGCACTGCGTGCAGTTGGAGCTTAGGAGTGCAACTGGCCTTCAGGTCCCCCTGGCCTCTGTCGTTGGTGCGTTGCTCTTAAAATGCACTGCTCACAAAAAGGGTCTTTCCCCTTCTATTTCAGTCAAAGGGCTCGTATTTTCTTTTTTGAGTCGGGTCTCACTCTGTTGCCCAGGCTGGAGGGCAGTGGCATGATCACGGCTCACTACCGCCTCTACTTCCTGGCCTCAGGTGATCCTCCCACCTCAGCCTCCCACGTAGCTGGGGCTACAGGTGCATGCTAGTATCCCTGGCTAATTCTTTTTTTTTTTGGAGTTGGAGTCTCACTCTGTCGCTCAGGCTGGAGGGCAGTGGCATGCTCCCGGCCACTGCAGCCTTGACCTACTGGGCTTGGGGGATCCTTCCGCCGCAGCCTTCCAAGTAGTCGGGACTACAGGTACACGCTACCATGCCTAGCTAATTTTTTATTTATTGTAGAGATATGGTCTTCCAAGTTGCCTGGGCGGGTCTCGACCCCGTGGGCCCAGGCAATCCACTCGCCTCAGCCTCCCAAAGTGCTGGGATGACAAGCTGAGCCACCGAGCCCGGCCCCTGGCTAAGTTTTTGAATTTTTTTTTTGTAGAGATGAGACTCACTTTATTGCCCAGGCTGATCTAGAACTTCTGGACTCAAGCCATTCTCCTGCCTGAGCCTGCCAAAGTGCTGGGATGACAGGTGTGAGCCACTGCGCCCGGCTAATATCTTCATTTTTTTTTTTTTTTGGTAGCGACAAGATCTTGCTATATGCCTCAGGCGGGTCTCGAACTCCTGGGCACAAGCGATCCTCCCACCTTGGCCTCCCAAAGTGTTGGGATGACAGGGGTGAGCCACTGCACCCAGTCAGAGGGCTCGTATTTTCAACCTGTAAGGCCTGAGCTGAGACTCTGAGTTTTCGGGAACCAGGCTCCCTTTCCTCCTGTGCCATCTTCGTGCCTGCCTCTCCTGTCCAACGCGGTGGTCCTGCAGCCCCGGAAAGAATGGCGGACGCCCCACGCCGTTCTCATCAGAGACCCTGAGGGATGGGAGCGGGACATCCCGTGGCAGGCTGACCCACGAGACGAGGGCTTCTCCCTAGCGTCTCGGCCCTCTGGCTTCATTCCAGCTGTACCCCTTCTGTCCTCCGAAGCCAAGCTCTGCGCCCCCAGAACGCACATCGAGAGGGTTCTGTAGGTTCAGTCGTGCAAATTTCCCTCCTGCTAATGTCGCCTTCACTTTACTGCTGTCCGAACCACGACTGGGACCAAGGAGACTGTCCCAGTGCCCGAGGTCCGCGCCTGCAGAGCGTGCCCCCTTTCCCGGATGTCGGCCTGTCCTGCGTGCCTGGCCACCATTGCTTATTTCAGGGCTACCGATAGTGAGGGTCTCCTTGATTCGAGGGACCCGGGAGCAGCCCGGGCGCTCGGGCGTGGGTCAGCTGTGGCCTGGGGCGAGGTCCCCTCCCCCCTCTTTCTTGATGGTCTCCCTCCGAGCCAAAGGGGTCATGGGACCCGGGTCAGCCTTTGATGTTTTTTTTCACCCCCTCAGACGCTTTTGGAGCTTGGAGCCTCCCCGGATTACAAGGACAGCTACGGCCTCACGCCCCTGTACCACACGGCCATCGTGGGCGGGGACCCCTACTGCTGCGAGCTGCTCCTGCACGAACATGCCTCCGTGTGCTGCCAGGACGAGAACGGCTGGCATGAGATCCACCAGGTACCTGCCGAGCTCAGGCGCCAGCCTCCGCCCTCAGCCTTCCATCCTGAACCAGGGCAGGGCTGCCCCGGGCTGGATCCGCCTTGGGGTGTTTTGTCTGGCCCACCCCAAGTGCCCAAGAAAAGGGAATGGAAGGTTCACAGACAGGGTGACCATCAGTGCGTGACACCCACATGCTCACATGGCAAGACACATCCCCGACTCTGGGGGAATCTGGAATGTGGGCCAGGCTGCGGTGGGGGGGCGTCCCTGAGGACACACTGCCGCTCTCCAACGGGTCCTCGAGGGCGCCCAGGGTGCAGGCCGGGAGGAGGAGTCTCTGGGCAGGGGGATGGAGAGGGGGCTGGGAGAGCAGGTGGGACTGTCCACCTGGGGTCCAGGGAGGGGCAGGGACAGAAGGGAGGGGCCAGACCAGGAAAGGGCAGGACAGGTCAGGAAGGGCCGTGGCCAGAGCAGGACCGGCAGGGCAGGTAAGAAAGGCGGGGCCCAGACCGCGGAAGGCGGGGCAGATCAGAAAGTGCTGGGGCCAGAGCAGGAAAGGGCGGGGCAGGCAAGAAAGGGGAGGGGCCAGACCTGGAAAGGGCAGGGCAGTCAGAAAGGGGCGGGACAAGACCCGGCAAGGGTGGGGCAGTCAGAAAGGGGCGGGATCAGACCTGGAAAGGGTGGGGCAGTCAGGGAGGGGCGGGGCCAGACCCACAAAGGGTGGGGCAGATCAGAAAGGGGCGGGGCCAGACAAGAAAAGGGCGGGGCAGGTAGGAAAGGGGAGGGGCCAGACCAGGAAAGGGCCGGGCAGGTAAGAGAGGGGAAGGACCAGACCAGGAAAGGGCAGGGTAGTCAGAAAGGGGCGGGGCAGACCTGGAAAGGACGGGACAGTCAGAAAGGGGCGGGGCCAGACCCAGAAAGGGTGGAGCAGATCAGAAAGGGGAGGGCCCAGACGTGGAAAAGGCAGGGCAGACCAGAAAGGGGAGGGATGGCATCGGAAGGGGAAGGTCCAAAGCAGGATGGGAAGAGCAAGGACAGGCTGGAGAAGACTCAGAACGGTGGGGTGGGACCAGGCAGGAAGGAAAAGCGTCAGAGCTGGTCAAGGAGGCCCCGGGGAGGCCCGGGAGAGAGTCCCGAGCAGGAAAGGAGGCCACGGGGAGGTTCTTGAGCAGGAAGCGGAGGCCGAGGGCCGAGGACGCCGAGTCTTTCTCTGCCGGGCCTGTGCCCCGGGCCCGCCGCTGCCTCTCAGGCTGCCTGCTTCCCTCTGCCTTGCTTGCGCCACCCGCTGTCCCGTCCTGGGGGCCGTCCACCCTGCCCACTGCAGCCCGAGCCCCCAGGGGTGGTGGGGACGCCGGCGGCCCCTCCCTCCCCTGGCCTTTCTTGAGCGGAATCAGTGGCGGTCGGTTCTGGCTCGACGCTTTGCCTTGGCATGGAGACCCCGGCCCCTCCCATCGCCCGTGGGGTCCACGCACCTGCTGGGGCTGCCCCGGCCGTGTGGGCTCTGCCCCCTGCCCGGGTCACATGGGCTGTGCCACCTGCTTGGTGGCCCGGGCCACATGGAGCGGGGCCCTCACAGCTGCCCCTCGTGCCCCTGAGAGCTGCTGGACTTCTTGTGTTTCTCCTGGGATCAGAAAGCTTGCCCTGGGCCGGCCGGCTTGACGCCCCAGCCTAGCGGGGCAGTGGCAGCCGGTGTCGGGCTAAAGAGCCCCCTGGCTGCCACGGTGTGTTTGAAGGGGCCCACCTTGAGAGCAGCAGGCTTGGTTAGGCAGATGCCTCTCCGCAGTGGGGGTGGGCCTCGTACCATCAGGCGAAGGTGCAGGAGAGGGAGAGTCCCGAGGTGGGCCTCAGACCCGAGCCGTGGCCTCCGGTCTTCTGCGCCTCCCTTGGGCCCTGCAGACTCCAGACCTCGGCCTCTGTCCCCGGAGGCCTCTATCACTCCATCACGTGCCGACTCTGTGAAGCACTTTTAGTTTTAAACGTCAGCGTAGAGTTTCTGAGAGTTCTCTGCTTGTGTGTGTCACACTCCCACGCCTGCCCGTGGGGGCTGTTTCTCCGGGGAACCCTGGCCAAGGCACCCCTGAACGTGGCGGCGGCCGTGGGAGTCCCTGCAGCCCTGGGGAGTTCGTGGGTTTGGCTGGGCTGCCCCGCTCCGTCCCCATCCCCCCC